TTTCGCAACCAGGGCAGTTTCAGGGCAGTTTTGGCCTTGTTGTTGGGAAATCAACTAGGCCTTCTAGGCTTGCTTCCTCCGCCCCGCCCCCAAATTACCTAGTCCCAGTCTTTTCATGTGAAAAACCGCTGAATACTAAAAAATATAAATAAGACTAGAAGGCCTAGGTCTAGGCTGACAAGGAACTACATTTAGGCATGTTTTACTAATCGAGTCCATGTTTTACTAATCGAGTCCATGTTTTACTAATCGAGTCCATGTTTTACTAATCGAGTCCATGTTTTACTAATCGAGTCCATGTTTTACTAATCGAGTCCATGTTTTACTAATCGAGTCCATGTTTTACTAATAGAGTCCATGTTTTACTAATAGAGTCCTTGTTTTACTAATCGAGTCCATGTTTTACTAATCGAGTCCATGTTTTACTAATCGAGTCCATGTTTTACTAATCGAGTCCATGTTTTACTAGTCGAGTCCATGTTTTACTAATCGAGTCCATGTTTTACTAATCGAGTCCATGTTTTACTAATAGAGTTCATGTTTACTAATGGGGTCCATGTTTTACTAATCGGGTCCATGTTTTACTAATCGAGTCCATGTTTTACTAATCGAGTCCATGTTTTACTAATAGAGTCCATGTTTTACTAATAGAGTCCATGTTTTACTAATCGAGTCCATGTTTTACTGATCGAGTCCATGTTTTACTAATCGAGTCCATGTTTTACTAATAGAGTCCATGTTTTACTAATAGAGTCCTTGTTTTACTAATCGAGTCCATGTTTTACTAATCGAGTCCATGTTTTACTGATCGAGTCCATGTTTTACTAATCGAGTCCATGTTTTACTAATCGAGTCCCATGTTTTATTAATAGAGTCCATGTTTTACTAATAGAGTCCATGTTTTACTAATAGAGTCCATGTTTTACTAATCGAGTCCATGTTTTACTGATCGAGTCCATGTTTTACTAATCGAGTCCATGTTTTACTAATCGAGTCCATGTTTTACTAATCGAGTCCATGTTTTACTAATAGAGTCCATGTTTTATTAATCGAGTCCATGTTTTATTAATCGAGTCCATGTTTTACTAATAGAGTCCATGTTTTACTAATAGAGTCCATGTTTTACTAATCGGGTCCAGTCCATGTTTTACTAATGAGTCCAGTCCATGTTTTACTACATGCCCCTTTTTTCTCTATAAACAACTTCAATAAAACGGTCTCTCCCAAAATTTTATAATTAGGTTTCACGTGAAATTGGTCTTTAAATCTCGCGTTTCATGAGTAAAATAAATGATGATTTCGTGTTTCACGAGAAATAGTTAAGTCACTATAATCAGACATTTCACGTTTTACGGGAAATAAAAATAACATACAATTCACGCCTTTACCACCTTCACTTATAACAATCTTAACTATATACAGATACAACGAAATCTGCTGCAGTTTCAAATTAACATGTCTCGATTATACGTGTAATGAGATGGAACAAAGCAAGTTTCAAATTGATATGCATAACATATTCCTACCAATATTTATATAAATTTAATATAGTCGGGACACGAACGACACTTTGGGCGAATGGATGGATCTGTAATTATTACTTTGAGCATCAACATAATCTTGTAAATATAGATATAAACTTATAATTATAAAGCCGTTTATGCTGCATGCCAAATCCCCACTTTCGTTAATGGCGAAAGCATGAAATTTTAGCCCCCCAAAATACATGAAGAATGCCAGAATGCGAGACCATAAATACAAACTACGAAGACGAAGTCGTCAAATTACTGCTCGTCGGCTAAAATACAAAAGAAAATATCCTACTTTGTGATCAAGTGAATGTAAATTGATTTTCGAATCTTTCACCCTGAGTATACAGTATATCTTTTATCTATACAGTATAAATACTACAAAGTCAGAGTACTGGCCTTTGTGGTTATTTAGGAAATGGGACAAATAAAAGTTAAGTGAAGAGGTTTCAGACTTTTCTAATGGGTGATTCCAGCTTTTGACTAAATTTTGATCAATGCAAGAAGAACGAAATCCAACACCGCAGCTAGAAAGAGCGCCTTAGAATGAGTAAAACTGCAAAGACTGGTTGCTAAGTGTTGTAGTGAAGAAAATATAGCTCTGTGAAGTTCGCAAATTTTGTATATATTTTATTACGCGCGGGTAAAATAACAATGCACTTTCGGCTCAAAAATGGTTATTTTTCCCGCTCGTAATTTGCGAACTTCACAGGGCTATATTTTGCTCATTTTACAACAATTCGCAACGAAACTTTGCATTTTTACTCATTTTAAGATGCTCTTTCCAGCTGTGGTAATGGATTTCGTTCTTCTTGCCTAGATCAAAATTTCGTCTATGACTGCATGAATCATTCATTGATTCTAAGCCACGATTTCGAATGGAACATAGAATAAGAACTTCTGGTGTTTGTGCTTTTTGTGTCAAAGCGAGAGTATGGACTATGGAATACAATTGTATTTCTAGTTTGGTTAACATTTTTAAATCGTTAAAATGCTTAATATTATGTTTTATGTCCAGTCAGCCATTTAACACTGCTTATGTGCTGATTGCGCAGGTCGTATAGTGATCTTTTCAAGTTTTTTGCGGCTTTATATAATTGGTCGTTAATTTGCTTCGATTGCTCATTAGTTCATCATGAGTCATTGAGTCATGAGATCAAATGATCTATGCATAATTGCATATGCGTATTTTTGTAGACTTTGAACAATTTTTCAAAGGTAGGAGAAATCCCTACACGCTATGCCGTTTGCGGTTTGTGTTTCCACTTAGTCAAAAACTACGGTAAACTTTTTATAAACTAAATTTAGCCTCCCCAAAATAAAATATGTTCCGCCGCCCCTGAGAAAACTAGTCGAAATTCTATATAGGCCTATTTGTGTGGAGTTGTACATATGTCATATTTGATAAAATATCATCAGGAAGCAGAAAAAAGTTTTGAAAATGCAACATTCTTGAAAACTTTTAAAATATTCTTATAGGAATTCTATAGACGATAACAGAACTATATGTCACACCTTTTGTTATATAATATCGCGTATGAAAGATTTTCAAGAGTACTGACCTCAAATTTTTATCTCAATTTACAACCGCGTATATAGTGGTTGGACAGTTAAACGTTTTCGATAAGGTCCATACACACCGGACGCGATTCGACAACGCGACGCGATTTTTCGATTTTCACTGACCGATAAGTTGGATCCTAGTTTAATGGAACAATTGCTCTTCAGCCAGCTAACTGAGCTAAGAATTAAGAGTAGACACAGACAGCTTTTGTGTGGGAGAATGGGTTATGGGGGTGAAGTACTCCTGTTACAATAAATTGAATTTTCTTTAGAACGCAATCATAAAAAAATCAGAATATTTAGTGCACGAATATATATTGAGATAATTCCAAGATAGTATGGAACACTTCAACTTCTGATGGTTGAAAGTTGCGTGTTCCTGCTAGGATGGTGCTTGTGTCGCTGACACTAGATGGAGCTTAATTAATTGGTAGTAGGAATTAAAATTATATGCGTATGAATTGGTATTCGAAGACGCATCATTAGATATGTGTTTATCATGACCTCCTCCCAATGTTGGCCCATAATTATTTTGTGTGTAAACGGCATACGGAGTATTTTGATCTTTCAGTGGGGCTTTAAAAGGCGGGGAGATTTTCTTTGTTCCGAAGAGAGAATATGAAGGATCCTGCAGCTTGTTTCCAGCCGCTACCTGTTATAACGTAAAAATAATGTTTTGACATTTTTAATCAGATTTATATTGAGTGTCGCTGCAGCAGTGTTGCAAGTGTTCATGCATATATATGTTGCATTTAAGCCTGCCACACACGGGAAGATTCGGTTGAGCTGAGCTAGTCTTCACGCGTGCTGGTAATTAAGCTCGTCTCTATATGTTTGTCGCAATCATAAAGTAAAGTGCTAAGTTAATATTCTATTTCGCTCTAAATTTCAAACGGTGCGATCCTTGCCTCGCGTGGACAAAATAATCAAACACGATAGAATTTTTCTTGCACGGTCTCGCGTGTCAAATTCCGCAGCAAAAACCGTGTATTGCCTCGTGTGGCGATTAGCTCAGCCAAAAGTTCTTGTGCGCGGGAGGCTTTATCTAGTGTCATTGACGGCGTAGAAATTGTACAGTTTATGAATTTCAGTAGGTGAAATTGATAAAGAATCAATGGTTCGTTAGTGTTTCTTTTTTCTCTATATAAAACAACTTCAATAAAATGGTCTCTCCCAAAATTTTATAATCCCGTTTCACGGAAAATTGTTTTTTAAATCTCGTTTCGCGTAAAATAATTAAAGGTTTCACTTTTAACGAGAAATAGTTAAATAACAATTCCTTAAACACATTATTCACGCTTCACGAAAATAATCATTACTGACTTAACATACATGCAGATACAACGAAATCCGCTGAAATTTCAAATTAACATGCCTCCATTATACGTGTAATGAGATGGAGCAAAACAAGTACCAAATTGATAAGCAGAACATATTCCTACCAATATTCATATAAATTTACACCAATATAGTCAGGACATGAACAACACATTCGGCGAATGGATGGATATTAATTGATCACAGAGTATCAACATAATCTTGTAAATATAGTTATAGGAATCCTATAGACGATAACAGAACTATATCACACCTTTTGTTATAATATCGCATATGAAAGATTTTCAAGAGTACTGACTGAGAATTTTTATCCCAATTTACAACCGCCAATAGTGGTCGGGCAGTTAAACGTTTTCGATAGAATCTGAATCACTCTGATACTTTTGAAACAAAATAAGTATATAGGTCTGTATTCTCCTTTGGCGCTCTTTATAAAAATATTGATTGTCCCACTTCTAAAATTCATTTGTTCTACTATGGAAGAAAAAATGATATCAAAACATATTTTGATAACTAAGAAGTTTAGAAAAAGAAAGTTTAGTTATATTTTATCATGCAGTTTCTTTTCATGTACTGTACGTGCATGCAACCCTATCTTTCAATAAATTGAATTTCAAGTCAATACGTTCACTCATGATCAGTATGATCCTTACACCTAAAGCTAATGCATGGGTTGGAAAGAAATGATGAAAGTAACATTATTATTATAGTCTTACCATCCCAAGACTTCGTGGCATACCCGCCGAAAATATAACTGCCAACTTTAATCAAGGTAACTGTTGGTTTCTTGTTGTCACACATGCTGTGGAAGGTACTGGCTGCCCATCCATCTCTTGTTGCACGCCAACACAGGCTCGCATGAGTAAAGCTTCCCCCGATCCATAAGTTTAATAATTGATCGTAGTAAAGTTCTCCAGATAATATGACTGATTCAGAAAACCTCGGATCTATTTAAGAATTAAAATATTAGGACGGTGGGAATATTTAGACATATTTAACGGCAACTGTATATGGATTATATTAGGGTAGAAATAGAGAATGTACGTAAAAGTGAAAAGTAAAGTATGATTACATGTATACTTTGCGCCTAATTATTGCTTAAAACGTTGGACAAAGTACATGATTTTGAAAGGTAGTTTTACTCTCACATTAATTCTTTCCATGCAATTACCGTGAAGCCTGTATATAAAGGCATATAATTTTAATCCTGTACTATTGTTATAAATATGCACATTCTTGCATAAACTCCGTACTAGACTACCAAAGAAATCTCTGAATATATTATTACGTTTATAACCATGCAGCTCTGACATAACATATAACATTTAAAAAACTCATTAATAATTCAGGAGGAAAACACAAAGAAAAATCATAAGCGTGTCGTATCTTTATATGTGATAAAAAATCTGTTAATTTACATAAACTTTAGCTTTGATTTTCTCGGTTTAGACAAAGTTTATTTTAAAAATTACTTCGCCAATGAACTCATGTAAGATGAGTCGTTTCTTAAGTACTATTTAAAGCACGCGTATATAGGAGTGTTTTATCACATATAAAACACTACGCGTAGCGGAGTGTTTTATATGTGATAAAACACGAGTACAAGTGCTTTAAATAGCTTAACAAACGACTCATCTTATACGAGTTCATTGGCGAAGTAATTTTTAAAATAAACTTTGTCTAAACCGAGAAGATCAAAGCTAAAGTTTATATAAATTAACGTGATTTTTTATTACATATAAAACCACGACACGCTTATGATTTTTCTTTGTGTTTT